CAGAGAGTTGGAACAAGGAGCCAATGACTCTAACTGACCACTGGGGCCACCCTCCCGACCTTCAGCGAGTGCCTGCTGCGTGTAAAGCCATGAGGGCTGGGACCTACGTGCTGAGGATGCAGAAATAAATAGACCTAGAACAGCCCTCCATTCTCCCAGCCACAGCTTTCACGTTCTTTTGATTGTGGCCTATAGTGAGAGATACATTTAAATCATACGTGTGTGTATGCTCTGGGTTGTTCTGTTTTGCCTTGCTAGTCTGTTCCTTTTTTTTTTTTTTAAGTGATTACAATCCAATGAATTGATATCTTTTGTTGTTGTCAATCCTCACCCAAGGATATTTTTTCCATTGATTTTTAGAGAGTAGACGGGAGGGGGAGAGACACACAGAGAGAAACATTGATGTGGGGGACACATCGATTGGTTGCCTCCCCCATGTGCCCCAACCAGGACTGGGGATTGAGCCTGCAACTGAAATAGAACCCGAGACCCTTAAGTCCTCCGGCCGATGCTCTAACTACTGAGCCAAACTGGCTAGGGCCAATGAATTGATATCTTGATCCCTACTGTGCAGTGGATCAAGTTGTGCAGCTAGAAAACAATGGGAAAAGATACCCAACATGTCTCGTTATAAAACAGTGTATAAATGAAGCCACAGAGGTGTGTACAAAAGGTATGGAGCCCTGAAGAAGACAGGCGTTAGGGGCCTGGAAACCCTCTCCTATGCTCTTTCTGTTACCTGTTGTGGGGCACCTGCAGCTCACCTGTGGGAAAGTCCGCTGGCCCCATTTCCCAGCACATTTCTCACCAGCTTCTCAATGGCCTCAGCCACACCATCGTCTACAGATACTGCCCCTGGGTGACCTGAACTAACGTCATCTGTGACACCTGCGGGGAGTCCAGGGACAGGGTAGCCCAGCTCTAGAGCTCTCTGAAGTTCCCCGAGCACAAGGAACCCACAGGGATGCCTGCCTTTCATCTGACTCTGTCTTTTTCAGCCTCAGCTCCCATTCAGTGAGTCTTGAGTGGGGGATGGGGGAGTGTAGGCCCTGGAGGAAAAGAGTGGGCCAGCAAGTGGCAAGGAAGCAATGACTGTTGATACAGAGATGTGATGTGAAGAGGCAACTCAATGCCAAAACAGACTTCTCCTGGCAGAGGTTGGCTGGGTGGGGCTGCGCATGGCCAGTGAGCTGTGGGGCCGAGTCCTAGGGAAGCAGACAGGGTACCAGCAGATGCCCTGGAGACCTCCCTCGCACTGGCCACCTCGATGGCCAGTGCAGGCATGGGATTAATTCATGAGCTGCATGGACACGGGAGAGGGAAAATATCTGTGCTAACCAGTAATCATGAAGAAAAGAATTAATGACATATGAATATTTAACTTCCAAGAAGACGCCTGAAGCTTCCTGGAGCCAAAGCATGTGGTGAGGAGCATGGGCTTGGGGAGTAAGACTGGCCGGGCCAGGTCCTGGCGTCCCATCTCCTATGCGCTCTCCTGGGAACAACTGAGGACAGAGAAGTGTATGAGTTGGCGCCTACTGCTTAACCTTGCGGGGCTCAGTGTCCCCCCTGGTAAGCAGGGGTACCGACGGACCTACCTCCTCGGATTGCTGTGTGGTTCACATATGAGAATGGCTGACCCCAGGGTACAGGCTGCTGCATACCTTTGGGCGGTAAGTGAGAAACAGTGGAAAGCAGGGCCAGGGGGCTGGGAAGTAGCCATGGCCACATGGGATTCCGCCTGCCTCCTGCATCTCCTCCCCACTGGCCTCATCGCAGACACAGACACCCTCTCCCGAGGGCCTCACCTCCACCTCAGAGAGGAAGCCACAGTTTCTCAAAGCCCTGTTGGCTATTCCTCTCTACGTTTGTCCCAATTTTGTTGAAACCCTGAACACACGGGCCAGAGATAACTTTTCTTGTCAAGGTCCATGGAATGGTGGGAAGAGCTGGCCACCGACTGAACACTGGGACGGGAGGGCTCTTCGGCCAGCCCTCCCAGACTCTCCCACCCCCTGTAGGCAGATGAGGCGCCCCTGGCAACAGAGAGCCAGAGGTCCAGCAGCTGGGGGCTGGGGGCTGGGGGCTGGGGATGGATCCCGACAGCTGCTGGGAGAACACACATTCTTCTCCCTTAAACCCATGAGTTGGAAACCTCCTGTGAGATGGGTCTCGGTGTGCAGGAGCATTTCTTTATGACCCCAACTGTGGAGGCTTGAAGGGGAGGAGCACAGCGGTCTAGTGGGGCCCAGGAGGGTTCTGCCGTCTGCCTAAGCAAAGCCCACCCTGGGCCGTGAAGTGTCTGACCACAGGGAGAGCTGCAGAAACACTTGCAGTGCTTAACGGGGCGACTTTAAAATGTGGCATCTCATGGTTCACAAAACAGTGATGGAAACCACAAGTGGACAGTCCTCCCTACCTGGGCCTGCAGTGCAGCAAAGTCCCTGAGCACATTAAGGCACGGCAGAGCCCAGCAGCAAACATTTTGCCTTGATTTGCTGTTTAACCCTGTGTTTCTCAAACATACTTGGCCACCGGCCCTTTTGCTAAGGAACAAGTTCTTTCTGTGGGACATCGCTGGGCAAAGAGTGAGTCAGGGCCCCCTCCCATGCACACTGGCCTCTCCGCAAATGAGACACTTGTGGCGAGCAGGATGCAGGCGGTTCGAGCTCCCTGTGTGTCCTTGGCCAGGCCCTGAACGCAGCAGCCTGCCTGGGAAAGGACACACAGCCCCCGGGGCCAGCCTCAGACCTCAATGACCAGGGCCTGAAGGCCCATGCTGGTTACTGTAGTCTCACTTCAGGGTGAAGGCCAAGCCTCTGAGGGCGGAATAGGGTGCTCTGGCGGAGAAGGTCAGAGGCCATGTCTAGCCTGGAAGTTTCTGTGTGAATCAGCCGTCATGAAGGGCCACTGAACAACTCTGGGCTACCCTCAACACAGGAGCCCAACACAGGAGCCTCAGAACAGCTCTGGGAAGCTGATCTGTGCTGCATTATTTAAAACACACACACACACACACACACACACACACACACGCACAGACACACACAGACAGACAGACACACACACACACACACACACTTCACCAGCACTCATTGCAGCAGAAGTTAATGATCATTGGGAACAGCGGAAGGAGACCGGCCCATCCATCCTGGCTGTGAACTGCACGGTTTAGAGCAGGGGTGGGCAAACTTTTTGACTCGAGGGCCACAATGGGTTCTTAAACTGGACCGGAGGGCTGGAACAAAAGCATGGATGGAGTGTTTGTGTGAACTAATATAAATTCAAAGTAAACATCATTACATAAAAGGGTACGGTCTTTTTTTTTTTTTAGTTTTATTCATTTCAAATGGGCCGGATCCGGCCCGCGGGCCGTAGTTTGCCCATGGCTGGTTTAGAGTCTGACTGTCTGGCTTCTGTCCTCTGGCTTCGGGGTGGACCAGTTTTCCTGGCAGATGCATATATGAACTCTATGTAGATTAATTCATGATTTCAAAGATGCTTTGAAGCTGGCAAAACATTCAACAGAGTTATTCCAAGAGTTATTACAACTGAAATCCTGGCACAGACTGGAAGGTCAGCCTGTAATCTTGTTTAGATCCTTTTAAATTCAGAAACTTTACAGTGGGTTAAAAATAGATCGCATCTGTGTCCTTCTGCCCCTTTCATCCCCGCTGCAAAGGCTGTGCAGTGATTTTGACCTACCCTCGCTATTAGCCAGAGAAATCCTAGCACTTGGCAACTGGGACTCTGTGGAGCCCAAACAAGTCATTTTTAAATGCAGATTGACGCAGCCACTGTGGAAAGCAGTATGAAGTTACCTCAAAACATTGAAAAAGCCTTATGACCCAGCTATTCTACTTCTTGGAATATGTCCGAAGAAACCGAAACACTAATTCGAAAGCATATATGCACCACTGTGTTCACTGCAACGTTACTTACAACAGCCAAGACTTGGAAGCAGCCCCAGCTGGTTTGGCTCAGTGGGTAGAGTGTTGGCCCGCGGACTTAAGGGTCCTGGGTTCGATTCTGGTCAAGGGCATGTATGCTGGTTTCAGGTTCAATTCCTGGCCCTGGTCAGGGCATGAGAAGGCAACCAATCCATGTGTCTTTCTCACATCGATGTTTCCCTCTCTCTCTGTTTCTCTCCCTTCCTTCCACTCTCTCTAAAAATCAATGGAAAAATACCCTTGGGTGAGGATTAACAACAGCAACAACAACAAAAAACAACAAAAAAAGATTTGGAAGCAGCCCAAGTGCCCATCAGTAGATGAGTAAATAAGAAAGCTGTGGTCCATTTACACAATGGAATACTACTCAGTCATAAAAAAGAAGGTCTTACCTTTTGTGACAGCATGGATGGACCTAGAGTTATTATGCTATTGAAATAAGCCAGTCAGGGAAAGACAAACACCATATGATTTCACTTACATGTGAATCTAATGAACAAAATAAACTGACAAACAAAATATAAACAGACCCATAGATACAGAGAACAGACTGACTGACAACTGTCAGAGGAGATGGGGGTTGAAGGACTGGGTGAAAAAGGTGAAGAGATTTTAAAAAATGGGTTTTGGGGGTGATGCTCACCACATGACTGAGCAAAGTTGCTCATTATCCTGCATAATAAGTTCTAGAATTAATAACAGCAGACTGTCACTCATTAAGAACAGCAGAATAGTACATGGATTCGTGTGGCATGGAAATGTGGCCAGGCAAGGAGAAACATTTTCAACAGTGTTACCCTGCCCTGGAGGGCTGTGTCCTCACATATCGACCAGGAAAGATCCCAGTGCGTAGATCAAAAGAAACTGGAGGAGGCTGGAAGGGCAGGCTGCTCTTAACCAAAAGTTAAGTGAAGATTGCACCTGGTTTCAGAAGAGTCAAAACACTGCACGGTATCTTATATGGCACCCGACGGGTGAAGGGGGTGCCAGCATTTTCCTGCCGGCAAAGATAGCATTCCATTCAGGATGACCTCTCTGCGGCGGCTTTACCTTCATGAACATGCTAAATCCAGTCTTCAGGAGGTCGGTGAGGCCTGACGACATGTGCTCAATATCAACAGGATCTGGCCTTTCGGGATCAAATATTTCCTCCACAACCTGCTTCAGCAACGGCTTGTAGGATGCCTGGAAGGACAAAATATTGTGCTGTGAGCAACAGGGTTTGTCTGGAGAGAGGATGGTTTTATCTGCACCCAAGGAAACAAAACAAGGTTATTTTGATACTGAGCAAAGGCTATGAGTTTGTGTGTGAAAAGGCAATTATAACAACTTTGGATTTTTTGGTAAATGTTCACCCCAGTACCTCAGCACTAATTGTTGTTTCTCATATTCCTTATAGAAGCAAATCTCTCGTCCACAGAGCTATAATCACAGAATGGCTAGTTTTTCAATCAAGATTGAAAGCGATGATTTTATGTATGAAGTATACTGGAAAACAAAGTATTGTCATTTGGTATAGACATAAAGATGGTCTCCAGTTTTTCCTAAATATTGTTAGAACTATGCTCCTTCTGCTAGGAACTCAAATGTTTTCTCCCTTCCTTCCTTCCTTCCTTCCTTCCTTCCTTCCTTCCTTCCTTCCTTCCTTCCTTCCTTCCTTCCTTCCTTTCTTTTGTCTTTATTTTAGAGAGAGGAAGGGAGCAGAGAAGAGAGATAGAAACGTCAATTGGCTGCCTCCCGCGCACTCCCTACCTGGGATGGAGCCCACAACCCAGACATGTGTCCTGACTGGGAATAAAACGGGTGACCTCTTGGTTCATGGGTTGACGCTCACACCAGCGGGTGGAATGAATGTTTTCGTGCAATGTTTTGTTGCCGTCCAAGCCCAAGGCATTCCCTCCTTCCTCTACAGAGCTCAGCTCCAAGTAGGACTTGGACAGAGAAAGCAGCCAAGGTGCCAAAAAGGAATCCGACCAAGGCCAGGGCTGAAGAGAGGCAGGCCACGTGGTACTATAAACATTTCAGTAGAATTTAGTTGAACTTTTGATAAATAATGCTAAATGCTTTCCTTTTCTGTGACCTGAATAACCTACCCACACTTAGTAATACTTGGAGGCAGCTCCTCTAACTGAGCATGCTCCCCACCTCTTTCCTTGGTTCTCCTTACTACCAAGCTCCTCCTCTCTTCTCTTCCCTTCCCTTCCATCAGTGGATCACCGTCCTCCCAGTCCTGCGGCTGCCTCTGCTGCTCCAGTTCCACAAGGCACCCAAGTGTGAGCATAAAGGATAAAGGAAGGAGGAGTGACTTCCCTCAACGCATTCTCTCAATCTATTCTATCTTTACTGCGTCTGTAACAGGCTCAGAACAGCCAGGCTCCCACGGAGCACCGGTGAGATGTCTTGAACTCCTGTTTCTCTCTTCGCATGTGAGCTGCCTTTAGCAAGTGTCCAGGGTATTTGGTGCATTGACTTCATCTCTGGCCTCATCTTGCTTTTCTCACTGTCATTTATTTTTTACTCTTATTTTCCCTTTATCCCTATTTTCATACCTAAAATATCTTAAAAATAAAGCAGGGCATATACTATCAAGATCATAAACAATCATTTAGCCAGAATGCAACTGGTGCATTTGGCAGGGATAAGATGCAGGGAAAAATAGCAACTGCTCAGTTGAGGGTGTAGCCTTCTTATGTTTATTAGTCAAGTAGACCATTGCATGTCCAGAGATCTCACAGGTTAATGCTTTTGAAAGTAAAGCACTGGGCAGGAACATCGATAAGACAGAAATTCACACACACACACACACACACACACACACACACGTCAACCTTCCTCATAATAAAGCTATATCCAGAGAAATTTTAAAACTTTACCATACAGGCAAAAATCTATAGGTTTGAAAATACACTTTTGATGGGGCCATAATGAACTGAAACTCTCACATATGGCTGATGGAAGGGTACATTGCTACAATTAGTGTGGAAAGCCATTTGGCAATACCTATCAAAATTACAATTGCATTTGACCTAGCAATTCCACTTATAGGAATTTATCCTATAAATATGCTGATATATGTAAATGATGCTCATAAAGGGCTGTTTATTGTTTGTAATAGCAAAAGATTGGAAACAACTCAAGGGCCTATCATTAGGGAGCTGTTTAATAAATGGGATGCATCACAGGAGGGGACGCTATGAAAGTGAAGAGGGAAGTTCTCTGTTGACCGGGCAGAAAGGAAGGTGCAGAATAAAGTGTGGGTGAAAAAAGCAAGGTGAGAAACAGTGTATGGTGGGCTGGACTCATGTGAAATGTGTCATGTGTGTATTTGTTGGAATACAGAAAAAACAAACTCTGATGTGATATACAGAGACCACCATGAACGGTAATCATGGGACAGGGGACTGGAGAAGGGACAGAAGTGGGAGGGAACTTTTCAATGTATTGCTTTTTTAAATTTTAATCTTTTCAATGTATTGTGTTTTAAAAACACAGTAAAAACACCACTACAAACAGCAACAGTATTTTTTCACTTGATGAAAATGAACAGAGTGTGCATGGAAGAGAATAGAGTAAAAACACACCAAATGTTAATTAGGGCTAGCTCTAGGTTCTGGGAGTGGGGGATATTATTTTCTTCTTTTTTCAAAAATTTCCAAAATTAACAAGTATACTTCTAGAAGGATAATGTAATCTAATAAATACTTTCAATGTCAAGAAAAATAAAGGTCGTAGGATGACCTTTGAATTCTATAAATCCTCTTCCTTGAGTAAACCATCTTTAGAGTCCTATCATCTCAGCCTTTCTGGACATTTCATCTCTTAAACTTCAACACTCATCTCTTTAAACTGCTCCCAAGTTACATATTATGTAGGAGAGAGACCTCTAAATTTTTTATCAAAACAACTAAGCACAGCCCGGCCAGCATGGCTCAGTGGATGAGTGTTGACCTATGAACCAAGAGGTCACAGTTCGATTCCAGGTCCAGGCACATGTCCAGGTTGTGGGCTTGATCCCCAGTGGGGGGCATGCAGGAGGCAGCCGATCGGTGATTCTCTCTCATCATTGATGTTTCTATCTCTCCCTCCCTCTCCTTTCCTCTCTGACATCAATAAAAATATATTAAAAAACAACAACTAAGCACAGAACAATAAGTAACACTGTGCCTTTAATAAGCAAGATTTGGAAAAGACTCTCTCAGGTACAAAGTGGAACTTTTGTGACTTAGCCAACACCTTTCTTCGATTTTCTACTTTGGGTTTTAATGATGAGAACCTTTGGCTCCTTCCTCTCGGCCATGGAGCTCGGATTGCTTTGTGCTCCGAATCCTGTCACTGAAATCTGACTGGAACGGACCGCTTTGGCAGTGGCTTCTCAGAGGAGAAAGCTAGGATGGTCCTGGAATTTTCTACTCAGCCAGAAGCTACCCGCTTCTGAGAAAGGACCACAGCGAGGTGGTGAGAGGGGACAGGATGTCTTCCTCAGCGCCCTGCTCAAAGTTTCCCTCGCATGCTAGAAAGGGCCAGAGGGGAGATGAGTCGTGTAGTTTGTCTCAACATTAACAGGGTTAACCATAGTAATTTAATTTTCCTAATCAAACATTCCCTGCCAGTTCACCTTTATTGGGGGGGGTGGGGAGGAGAGGAATTAAAGACACAGGCATTTTCATCCTTTCCCTGTCTTGCTGGTCATTAATCCCTTGCTTACACCACATCCAGTGTGTGTGGGCAGTAGGGGTCTGTGCCCGCCACAGTCACTCAGACACCAGGTTCCTCCACTCCCTCAGGCCCCGGGGCAGACTTCTGTGACCCCACCGCAGCCCTTGCAGCTCATCATCAGATGAGGAAAGATAGTACGAAGGGTTTGCAGAGAGATTTCATGGGCTCTGCCCAAAAGTGATCTGTATCACTCCCACCATAATTCATTGGCTCGAATTAGTCACAAACCTACATTTACCTGCAAGAGACTCTGGAAAATGTGGCCTCACTGTGCCAGGAGGAACAGAAGTGGCATTTGGGGTTCACATAAATTGTCTCTGCTGCACACATACTGTAAAGTCGGATTGAAACATGCATATAATTATTCCCTTTACAACTGACAAGTTGCATGTTGTAGGCAAAGTACTATTAAACCCTTTTCCCTTCTGCATAAGAATTTGACCTTTGGTTAACTTTTTAGCTGTTTCCCTGGAAACCTGATAAGGGAAGAATGTCAAACTCTAGCCAGGCAAGATTGCTTATGATAAAAGTGACCCCTGCTTGGTTAACTGCATCAGACTGGGAGGACTATAGATACTGGATAGAAGGCCAGACCTTGGGGCTTCTCTGAGTCTGATGACTCTTGCACGACTGGCATAACTGGGCACATCCCTTGGAGGGACGCTGGAAGCTACACTGTGCAGTTGTTCCAGAGAAATTGGCTCCTACGGGAGACAAGGGCTTTAAGGCAGGGAACTGCCCCCATCCCCACCCCCATGTGAGTCTAGTTCCTGCACTCTTGAGCTGTCACCTCGGGACCGAACTGAGTAGCGGTGGTCACAGGGACTAACTACTCTGGGGAAGGAAAATGTCCGCTGCTTCCCAGTGGCGAGCTGTGTTCCTGCCTTGGGCAGACTGGTGTCAAGTGGGGGCTATGACCACAGAGCCGACTTACCTGCCAGGCACACAACACAGAGCCTGCGTAGGACCCGGGAGACTTTTAGGGACCCATGAAAATGCAGTAATTTCTTTTAAAATTAGAAGAAAAAAAATACCTTTTAGGTCAAAGAAAATGTTTCGATATATACTATTTATATATTTGTCTCTACACCAATACAATGGCATAATAAAATTTTTGGTATTTTTTATTTTTATAGAGGAAGGAGGCCACCAACTCAAAGCTGCTTAGGGCCATGAAAATCATAATATCACCCTGTATGAGAGTGTCCTGAGGCTGCCTGAGGTTTGTTAGAGCCCACAGAGACCCCCGATAGGTATTACATATGAAATAATTACAGTTATAAAAAGTGATCTTACACCAGAAACTCTTTTTCTTTAAATGGCCAGTATCTCTTCTAGAACAAATTGGGCTTTTGAAAATGCCATATTTAATTAAATTATGAAAAATAAAATATTTATGTCTATGCCCATGGTTTTTCTTTTGTGACGGAGATAATGTGTGATTAGATCTAGAAGACTTTTATTGACCT